ATGAACTCATTTCAGCTTTGGGGTGGCGATGGGAAATGGGGAGCCTTTCCTCCTACCAATCCGTATCGTTTTATCTGCAAAACGAGCTCTCAATTCTGAGAAATGCTTTGTGTTTATTTCTGTGGACAAAAACCAATAAATCCCATTTTATTCAATCTTCTGAAAACACACAACTGCACATTATCTTTTTCTTTATTTCTGAATTGTTTGTACAAAATCTCATATAAAAAGTCCTCCCAAAAACCCAGAATTCCGCCTGAAGCTGCAAGTATTTTGCTCTCTCGTCGCTCCCGAATAGACTTTTAGATAAACGTGTTGAACATCAATGGACATCAACATGAGGAAACTGACAATTCTTCGTGAAGGTCGCTCTTCTCGTCCCTCAACTCGTCGATTTGTCTTTGATTTTTGTTCTCTTGTCTTTGTCTTTGTTTTTTGTCTTTGTTTTTGTTCTATAGGCGGAGTTTTTTGTCTCTTTTTGGGTAATCTTAACGATTAAGAAAGTAGATAATGTATGTATTTATTGTAGAAATAATGAGCTGTCTATGTCTTTATAGTCAAAAGCGAATGAAATCCCATTTTCAGATGAGATTTGTTCAATGAAATCATTTAGCTATGTACATATCACTACATTATACTCTTTCAACAAGTTTTCTTGCAAAATGGTCGACGATATAAGGTACCCGTTAGTGATGTCAAACTGAAAGCAATGAAAATGGATTTCTTTCGCAATTCCCCATTCATTTGCCTCGTGATGTTCTCGGCCACGTTTGCGGAGGATTACGTGTAGCTAAGCGTGTAGCGAGCGTTACTAGAAACGTTCCGCGGTTGGATATTGTACTTTATACTCTTTCAACAACTCTGTTCCATTCACAGACAAACCTGACTAATTGATTTTAACAAAGATCTCTTTTCGATCAAAGGAGTCCCTATTAGTCCAAATTAACTAGAATAACGGCATAGATCGAAAGCTCGGCGTTCCGTGGTTGGACCAAAGTTATCATGGAGATCACAAAAGACAGAAACTTGTGTGGGCTTGAATGCAAACTTTATTATTGGGTAATTATTAAATGATCGTAATAAAGAGAAATGCTTTCAAACAATGGTCATCAATCACTTTCTTTGGAAGTCGCCACTCTTGAAGTATCCCGAATCTTTTCGTTCGCTGAAATAAATATCGATTGTTTTTGGTTTATGAAGCCTAAATTTCAACGAAAATCATGAATTTTCAGAATTGAATCATTTCGATTTCTTACTGAGTTCCTGAACAAAATCGTTCTCTTCCTGACTGTGAATGGAGACTAGATGGCTCTTTCGACTCGCACAATATTCCTCGGCCTCATCAAATGTCATTTCTTGAATGGGAACCTTGAGATGATTTCACCCTTCAATGATCAAATTTTTTTCGTCTTTTTCGGTGTGAGGTTTTGCATTATCATGCAAAAATAGCACTTTTGATGTTTCAACGCCCAATTTCTTTAAAGCTTCGTTAACCCTCATCAACTGTTTTGAATAACGATCAGCGGTGACAGTTTCTCCCGAATTCAACAACTCATAATACACCAAATCTTTTGTATTCCACCAACACCAAAGCATAAGTTTTTTTCCATGAATCTCGGGTTTTGAAGTTGGTTGTGGGGGTTGACCCAGAGAAAGTCACTGATTTTTGCGCTTCACATTCTCGTATTGAATCCATGTTTCATCAGATGCGAGAATTCTTCCCCAAAAAACATGCGATTTGCCTTTTTGAAGCAGGGCAGAGCTCACGATGACACGAATTGTTTTGACTCACGATGACACGAATCAATCGCTAGTCAATCGTATCAACGTCAAATGTCGTATCGTGTTTTAGTAACAGATTTCATTGAATTTAAACCAGTAGAAGAATCGGTAGAAACCTCATCGTTACTAACAACTTCACCTAGAACCTCGGACTACTTCTTCTAAATGATTTTGTTAAGTGAGAGGAAATGGATAAAGTGAGAGGAAATGGATGTGAAGAAAAAGAATTCCGTGTTTTGATAAAAAGTGATCAGAGAGTCCAGAAGGATTCGCTCTTCATTCCGTGTCTTCTGGTGATGAGTCGTGATTACCAGACACTTGAAAAGTCTTATCAGAAGATCTCCCTCAAACTTGAAAGACACATTTCAGATTTCAGATCCATTAGGGTATTTGGCTGTGGAGAGTTGCATCCAACCTATTCCGAAGCGATGAACCGTTTCTGAGGCTGGTCTCGATTCCAAAAGAAATATGAATCATACCTCCCTCCATCGTCTTCCTCTTCCTCTTAAAACCCAAAAAAAAAAATAAAAAAAAAAAAAAAAAAAAGAAAAAAGACGACGAGGATCCACTCATCAAACCACAATCAATTTTACTTTTGGCTCAATTTGCTTTCAAAGGACCGATAGTTAGACCGATAGTTAAAAGGAGACCGTCGGGTATCACTTTTTCAATCCAACCGATCTGGAATATAAATTGGCCAAGAAGGTAGCTTTTCGAGATCAAAGGCTCAGGTTCAGGCGTTCAGTCGATGAAGCCTCAGAAATAGCAAGTGAGGTGTTAGGCTCATTGAAAGATGAAGGTGGGTATGTAAAGTTAAATAATAAAATAAGATTAAAACTTTTGGAACATGAATGGAAGGCTGAGATTATTGAAGTTATTTACACAAAAGTTCGGCTTATTCTGGAAAAAGGTAAAATCATCACGGAAATCTGATGGAAATCCGAAATCATCGATATTTATTCATTAATTTGTTTCCAATGCATAGTTAATTCAAACATCTTTCTATCCATTTGAGGGAACTTCTTTTTGTAAAATAACGCAAAATGTTTTATCAAATGGTTCCCAACAGAAATGAACACATTTCAGTCTTCGAGAAAATGAACGGTCTGGTCTCCCGCCCGACAGCTTTTTCAAAACTTCATTGCGGCTCTTTGGGCCGTTCAAAACAAGAAAATTCTAGTTCCAAATCTCTTGAGTTAACCAATCTGCACAACTGAAAAAACTTGTCAATCATTTGAAGAAATCGTTGGCTCTTCAATGTGGGCTTCGATTTTTCGATGGAATGCTGTTTGAAGACACGACCAGAAACTTATAAGCATTCCAATGCCCATCAAGGCAAATGTCCAACATGTACACATAACTATGCTACGTACTACGTCAACAAACGTCGATTTCAAGGTGGATGAATTGCCTTTATATTCACTAGTTTTTCTATAGATTTGCTTAATGAACTACCAGAAATGACTCGACAAATGGAAACCATCGAGGCAGCTTTAATGAGTGCCGAAGATGATCGTAGCTGCAACGAATGTCTTAATGTGAAATGTTGATGGAACTTCGTCAAGAATCAAGAAAATATCTCCAAAGCGTACAAGATTTGATGGAAAAATAAAAAAATAAGGAGTCAAACATAGTGCGCGTGCTAAGGCCTTTATAATAGGTCGACGGTCGCTTTCGTTCTATCAAAGAACTATCAGTCAAACGAATTACTTTTCTTTTTGTACCCATAACTATGCCACGTACTACGTCAACAAACAGAAAAATCAATTTCGAGGTAGATGAATTCTCTTTACATTCACTAATTTTTCTATAGATTTTCTTAATGAGCTACCCCAAATGACTCGACAAATGGAAACAGTCGAGGCGGCTTTAATGAGTGTCGAAGCTGCAACGAATGTCTTAATGAAAAGGGGCCTAGACTCGAATTTGTTTGAGGCTGATCAAATGTTGATGGAACTTCGACGAGAATCAAGAAAATGTCACCAAAGCGTTCAAGAATTTGCTTGAAAAATGAAAAAATACCGAGTCAAGCATAGTGACGACAGTGTCTAAAGGCCTTTGTAATAGAGATCAACGAGAATCGACTTTAGGTTCTATCAAAGAACTATCAGTCAAACGAATTGCTTTTGACAAAGAGTCTGCTATTTCGAAAATGACGGAAAAAGGCAATACTGTGGGGAAGAGCCACTAATAAAAGTTCTCTAATCATGGTAGTCTGAATATAGGTAAATTATTGAGGAAATCCGGGTGTTCTCACTCTATTTCTTGCCCCAAATAATTGTTGTTTTGTAGCAGTTTTCGTTTTCAGTTTTCGCTGAAATGAATATTGATTGTTTTTGGTTGACGAATGATGACTAAACGAATCGAGCATTCCCCTCCTTTCTCTTTATTTGGTAAGAAATCCGTATTTTGCTTGGCAACAAACTTCTTGTTTGATTTTCTCATCAATTCTGCTTATTTAGTAGCCTTTTCCTTTAATTTTCACTTGTTCTTCGAGAAAATTCAAAATTAAATTAAAGACTGTTTTTGATAGAAGCAAAGATTTGGCGAAAAACCCACAAATCGGCTTCGAGTTGGGCGATTTTCTTCAACGAGATGGCCGGTTCTTCTATGCGTTTGACACTCTTTTCTTCTTCAGTCACTTCGGCCATTTCAGTTTTCGGCCAATGGAGAAAATCGCAGTTTCCGTATAAGAGAAGCTTTGTTTAGCTATGCTTTTTACAACAATGCTCTGCTTTAAAACAAAACAACTTAAAATACATAGAACAACCCAAACAACAATCAACAATGATCACACCTCGAGGAGCTTTGAATTTTGAAGTTCGAGAAGTCAAATAGACTCTAGGAAAAATTGTTTACGCCGGGGGAGATAGATAGCTTCCCCCGCGGGGATTGAGGAACAATTGTGGCGATTTGATGGGAACGGTCGGTTCAGTTGACCTTCCCCGAAAGTAGTCTCCTGATAACTCCGCGTTTTCTCACTCACAAACTTCACACGAACTGACGGCTTTCTTTTTCCCGAAATGCCACTCTTTTTGCACGAAGTTCTATTCGAGGCGATTCTTTCAACGGCTTTTGGGTCTGAGTCAATCGCTTTTCTAAACAATTTCAAAGCTCTCAAAAGCTCTTATCTGTAAAAAAACAATTGTTTATCGAATCGTCCCTCCTTCGTTCTTCCCATTTCCCCGAATTCAAAACTAATCAACCAATTCAGCAGAATGGGTGTGATGGCCGTCGGTCTATTCATCACGATTCCCCTCCTTTTCCATCAGATTTCTTCGTCCATTCAAGAAAGCGTTCAAGTGGATCCATCCACGTATTCTTTTCCCTTCAAATAGCTATGTTTTCAACCATTCAGATCTCCGAATGATCGAGATGAGATTCGTGATCATCGTACTTTGAAGTTGGTTAGAAAGGGGTTTTTCGATGATCTTAGATTTCAGCAGTAAAGAGGATTGTCCGGATACCGTCTGCTTGAGGTCTTGTCAACCAAATTTGTGAGTTTCTTGGGAGAAAAGCGAAATTGATAGAATAAACAAGAAATAGGCTTGAGTGTCTCAACGACAAGACTTTTCAGGAATGAAACCCAACAAGAACTTGTCGAGGCTCGAGGAAAAATCAGCGGACTCGAGAGGGAAATGTGGGTGAAATCAAAAATCTTGAAGAATTCAAGCTCATCTTTTTTGGATTTTGAGTAGTGAGTAATTTGAGTATTCAGCGCAAGAGGGCGGAACGAAACGAAGGACAAAGACGTCGAGATGAGTCGATTGACAGCAAAAATGGCTCAAATCGAGGCGAATTTAATGGGGAAAGTCGCCAAGACGAAAAGGAAAAACGACGATCTCGAAGGTTGACATATCAACAGTAAAACATAAAAATTTCTTTATTCAGAGAAATCCGAACAAAGGAAATGCTTTTGAATGGACGGATGGAAGTTCGGTGGATTTCACGAATTGGAGGGTTGAAGAGCCGGGTTCGAACACCCACGCTTATGTGAGATTTTCCACGTGAAATAATCAATATCTATTCCAATTTGCAATGCATAATTAATCCAAAAACATTTCGATCAATCTGCGAAACTTTCTTTTTCTGGAATGACGCAGAGTGTTTTATCAAAAGATTTCCATCGGAAATGAACACATTTCAGCTTCATAGCTCCGATGGGATATGGCGGGCCTATTATCCTACTAATCAGGATTATTTTATCTGCAAAAGGAGCTTTCAATTCTGATAAATATGTTCCTTTCTGTGAACAAAAACGAATAAATCCCATTTTATTCAATCTTCTGAAAACACACAACTGCACATTGTTTCTTCAAAATCTCATATAAAAGTTTTCCCAAAGACCCAGAATTCCGCCGGAAGCTGCAAGTATTTTGCTCTCTCGTCGCTCCTGAATAGACTATGAGATACACGTATTGAACATCAATATTTAGTTTTTTTTGATAATGACGGTGTGTTTTTTACCACGTTCTTTTCTCAGTTTTTAGCTATAGGCATAGAGGAAAGCTGGGCGTTCCGTGGTTCGATCGAGAGGCGATCAATTTGTTATCTTTTTGCAGATTAGCTCAAGTGCCTAAAGATTAGGAACAACTCTAAATAGAGCAAAGTTTTGGTGGAGATCAAAAAAGAGAGAAACCCGTGTGGGTTTGAATGAAAACTTTATTATTGTTCGCAGTTATTAAATGATCATAATGAAAAGAGATGCTTTCAAACAATGATCATCAATCACTTTCTTTAAAAGTCGCCATTTTTGAAGTATTCCGAATCGACGCTGTGCTCGCCGTATTTGTGCGATTCGATTTGATATCTAAATGTTGCCAGTGGGTCAAGGAGGGGGATACATTTCCACTAGTTGATCTCTCGATCTATCAACCCACTTGAATCCGGAGGCTCAGAACTGATTTCCGATAGTGTGCTTTTTAGGTTGGAAAGAAAGTCTCGGAGAAAGTTTGCACGGTGATTTCTCAAAAATCAAGCCACGAATTCTTCTCAGATTCTTTGATGATCCCACAAAAATCTCTAAAATTTGAAGGGAAAGCTGGACTCATTTTTTTCCGGCTAATTTCTTTCCAACTTAATATTACGATACACTTTCAAAACTTACCGGTTTATCAGCGCCTCGTTTAGGCCAAAAAGAGCAAAAAGGGCAAAGAACAGGATGAGAAGTCGCATTGTGAAACCGTAAAATAAAAAATTGTGGTGAGGAATAAATTGAATGAAAGTTGAAAATGAAAATTGTCTGTATAAAAATTTAAAATAGTGGAATTAAGGAATGACAAGGAAGGAATGACCAGGGTGTGAAGATAAGGAATCTTTCGATTTGAAATGTTTTGAAATGGTTTCTCGTCCATTTACCCATTCCACTATTTCGATTTTGTTTTACCAAAAGTTTGCCTTCTTCAAATCTTCAATCACATTTATTTTACAAACCCAAAGTTAACATTTGAAATTTAGCAAAAATTCGTCGTGTGGGCGGTGAAAGGCCAACAAAAATGCATCATTTGATCTCTTTATTGGATTTAGTTTCAATAATAGTTTGACCAAAGCTTGGTATACCAGGCCTAGCGCGGTCATTCCAATTCTAACTTAACAATAAAATGAATAGAATTGGCATTCAATGACAAATTGACCAATCCACGAGATCAAACTAGACGAATGACCTCTATAAAATGACTGCTTGACCAAAAAATTGCTTACACTCAATGGGAATGCAAACACTTTTCTGGGCAACTATTCTGCTGCTCGTTGGTGAGTGTTGGACTTTTCCTTATAAATCTTGTTCTCATTCCGCTTCAGTAATCAGTATCAGACTTGTAACCTTTTCCATTTCAAACATTTCCCAACTCCAGCTCCTGACTTAGCCTGGAACCATCAGGCATTCGCCACTTTCGTCATATCTCCGAATGCACATGGGCTTGCAAATCGAAAAATCCTTTAGCTAATGTGCAAAAGTGTTGTGTTGTAGGTGTTTTGTCTCAAAGAAATCCAAATCTTGATTCAATCTAATCTCAACTTTCAAAAAGGATTGGGAATGATAAGATCTGCATAAACAGCTCTAGTTTTTTTCTTCTTTATAAAGGAATTATTTTAGCAAGAAAAAGCTGGCAACTGGGGCACGTGTACTCAATATTTTCAAGCAATTTGTGCAAGGAAAGACGTGACTTGGTCAGCTGATGGGGAAACACTCTGCTCGTATTATGGCTTCGGTTTCGAATGTATGGATCGATATCAATTGGGTGGAAGTTAATGCTTTATGATGAGAATAAATTTGGGACAAATCGTGACTGCATTCTGACCCAAAACAAAAATGAAACGCAATCGAGAACATATCAATGCTAAGGCCAAAGTAAGTTGTCAGCACCACTAATCATAGCCTCCAAAATTTTCTGGAAGGTGAAAGGAAATGCTTTATGATTAGAATAAATTGGGGCAAAAAAAGGTGACTCTATTCTGACCCAAAACAAAAATGAAACACGATCGAGAACATATCAATGCTCAATCAACGAGAACATATCAACACTCAATCAACGTAAGTTGTCGACACCACTAGTCATAGCTTCCAAAATTTGCATTTAAGATAGTAAGTCAATCAATTTGTGGATATCACCGACCTAATGTAAACGAGTATTCACGCTTTTTAATCCTAACTTTGAAAAAGTATTGCTTACCTTCAAAAAATACAAAGTTTGAAAACATACAGTCCTGATAAAAGGCTTATAAACCATAAATTTCTACGAAAATCATGAATTCTCAGAATTGAATCATTTCGATTCCTTACCGAGTTTCCAAACAATATCGTGCTCTTCCTGACTGAGAATTGTGACCAAATGGCCCTTTCGACTCGCACAATATGCCACGGCTTCATCAAATATCATTCCTTGATCGAAAGCCTTGAGATGAAGATAATCCTGGTTTCGAACCTCCACCAAACCTTGTACCAAGAAGTGGTTTTTGCCAAATACGACCATCCACCCGGATCCAAGAAAGTCATCGTTCGATTTCTGAATTTCTTCGAAAAACTTTACTCCAAACTTTGTAAACAAATACTCAATCCTTTTTCTTAAAAAACTCACAAATCTGCATGCAACTTCGCAATTTCGGCCGTTTTGTTTTCCATTTTAAATTGTCTAGAGAGGAATTGATTGGATTGAGTGGAATGGGTGTTTTGGGAGTCAAAAAAAACTGCTTTCTCAAGTCTCAGTCGACAAGAGATACCAAATAAACTCACATTTGGGTTTCAAAGCCAGATATTTTGCTCTGCAACGCGTTGATTTTTCCTTCGAGCTCTCCAATCTTGGTTTTTCCGTCTCTCACTTCCGTATTTTGAGTTCTTCTGAAAAAAGTTAGCATTTTAACTATATATTGAGCTTGTCAAAAAAGAAAGTGACAAAATTAGTACAATTGTGCTTCGAGATCGTCGTTCTTCCTTTTCGTCTCGTCGATTTTCCTTTCCAATTCGCGATTTCTCTCCCTTTCGGCAACCAAATCAGCGTCCAACTTTGCGTTTTTCCCCATTAAATTCGCCTCGATTTGAGCCATTTTTGTTGTCAATCGACTCATCTCGACGTCTTTGTCCTTCGTTTCGTTCAGCTTTCTTGCGCTGAATACTCAAATTACTCACTAGTCAAAATCCAAAAAAAGATGAGCTTGAATTCTTCAAGTTTTTTTGATTTCACCCACATTTCCGTCTCGAGTCGGCAGATTTTTACTCGAGCCTCGACAAGTTCTTGTTGGGTTTCATTCCTGAAAAGTCTTGTCGTTGAGACACTCAAGCCTATTTCTTGTTTATTCTATCAATTTCGCTTTTCTCTCAAAAAAACCAACAATTCTCTTCGACAAGATCCCAAGCGGACGGTATCTGGACAATCCTTTCCACTTCTGAAACCTAAGATCATCGAAAAATCTCTTTCTGACCAACTTCGAAGTACGACGATCACCAGACAGAATCTCATCTTGATCATTCGGAGATCTGAATGGTTGACAACATAGCTATTTGAAAGGAAAAGAATACGTGGATGGATCAACTTGAACGCTTTGTTGAATCGACGAAGAAGTTTGATGAGAAAGAAGGAGAATCGTGATGAATAGACCGACGGTCATCACACCCGTTCCCCTGAATTGGTTGATTAGTCTTGAATTCGGGAAAATGGGGAGAACGAACGAGGCGACGATGCGATAAACAATTGTTTTTTCACCGAAAAGAGCTTTTGAGAGCTCTGAAATTGTTTAGAAAAGCGAGCGCCTTCCAACCGACGACTGACTCATTAAGCCGTTGCAACAATCTTCCAATAGTACTTCAAGCAGAAAAAAAAGTGGAATTTCAGGAAAAGTAAAACCGTCAGTTCGTGTGAAGTTGGTGAGTGATAAAACGCGGAGTTTCTAACAAAAAATTTTCATGTGTGTTCCCCAGACTTTGCAAAACTCCATTGGATATTCTTTAATTATTTCAGAGATAATAAAACGGTCTGAGATCGAGAAGTGGCACAAAGATTTGTGAATTATATCTGAAAAAGACGCTTTCTTTGGTCGAAGCTTGTCTATGAGCTTATGGCCTTCGATGATGCCTAAGGCATATTGTCTCTCAGGGAAATGTTTGCGAATATGTAGCTTTATCGTGAAACAGAATATCTAAAAACCCTTTTTAACTAGGAAATCACCAACAAAGAAAACTCTTGGAGTCAAATATTTCCCTGATGTCGTTATAGCCCGACAAAGATCTCCACGAGACCAAACGGACTGAAAATGGCAGCAAAGCGGACGGCACCCGGAGTGATGACCATGCAATTGCTCGGCGAAGTGAGCAGAGCCTGAAATCGCAAATATCCACAATACGATGTCAAGGATCTTT